AATATAAGTCAAAGGAAAGAGAAAAGTTATGATGAATAAATATCAACATCATCTTTCAACATTTGTTACTGATCAGTTTATTTGAATTATTTTATAGCATGTTATTCTTATATATTGTCTCACACATTTCAGTATAATTCCGTTGGTATTTATTTAACTGCATTAGTTATTCTTCTTCTAATGGCAATTGACTTTTAGTACGTGAATTCCTGCTGTTACTCATGCCACTGACTCATACATCAAGTGACCGAGTAACCTAGTTAGGCGACCTTGAGCAACATTTCTGATAGTATTGCTGAGCAGTGGAGTGCCCTTTTTTTTTATATCTTATTTCTTTATCTACAAATAATTAAACCTCCCACTCTCTATGCACCTATTCCCATGTGTGTAATTAATCATGTCGGTATATGATCATCTATGTTTGCTTTTATTGGTCCTATGACATGATTGATGATGATGACGATGATGACCATTATAACAATAAGGTCAGCAATATTCATAACAACTATAATGATAATAATAATTATAACAAATACAATGATGACAGTAACAATAACAATAATAATAATAATAATAATAATAATAATAATAATGATACTGACAATAATAATAATAATAATAATAATAATAATAATAATAATAACTACTATTACAGTATTATTATTATCCTGCTCACCATCCTCATCTTTATAATTATCACCAACAACTGTTATTAAATCAACTGAAACCATAATTATAATTATAATCACAACCATAATAATACTGTAACAACAATAACAACGTTAATAATATGTAGTTTGCCAATACAGCAGCTAGAAGAAAATACAGCCCCCTTTTACCTCTTCCCTTAAAACCAAGCTAAAGCCACGCCACTCTCTACACCTCGTCACCCTCTAAACCCCCACACCAGTCACCTCATTCCCCCCCTGAACAGAGACTGACGTACACATGATCCACACAAGCACGAGTGGCGAGCCTCGCACTTTCCCCACCTGGCAGAGAGGACCTCACCCAAATCCTCTCCCTAGCAAAACCCCAGAAACAACACACTTTCGCACTCCTCCTTACCTGGGGTGTAATATGTGGGTTGAGAGCTTGCGTTGAGAGACGTGTTCTCTGTGGCCCCGGCCCCCATGGCAAAGGGGTTGGTGGGGTTGGGAGATGGCTGGGGGGGAGGCATGGCAAACACGGGCTGCTGGGCTCCGCCGGAACTTGGCTCACCGGCACCAGGGGTCCTAGAGGCAGGAGAGGGGGGAGGGGCATATTGAAATGTCAGTTTTCCGATAAGGGTGTTGAAGGGAAATAAAAAATGTACATGGGGAAAAAAAGGATATAAAAGTGAGGGTGAGAAAAGAGGACGGGAGGAGGTACAGATGGAGGGATAGAGAGACAGTGGGAGAAAAGAAATGAAGGAGGGAGAAGAGAGAGGGGGCAAAGGGATGGCAGAGTGAGTTGGAGAGAGAGAGAGAGAGAGAGAGAGAGAGAGAGAGAGAGAGAGAGAGAGAGAGAGAGAGAGAGAGAGAGAGAGAGAGAGAGAGAGAGAGAGAGAGAGAGTGTCACTAGGATTATGACCTTCAGAATACAGCTCATCATCAGTGGCAACAACAAATATCTACTTCAAGATACATTTGTCAATGATCTTCATGTATATATAAAAAGGTTTGTCAAACATGTACAGTAATAATCCATGCAATAAAAATGAGAAATATATATATATTTTTTTTTGAGGATTTTTGTGGAAAAAGATAAACAAAGCAAATCACTCACAATATGTATGTGTGTGTGTGTGTGTGTGTGTGTGTGTGTGTGTGTGTGTGTGTATGTATGTGTGTGTGTGTGTGTGTGTGTGTGTGTGTGTGTGTGTGTGTGTGTGTGTGTGTGTGTGTGTGTGTGTGTGTGTGTGTGTGTGTGTGTGTGTGTGTGTCTATCTCATTTATGTGTAAGGATGCATCACGGTGTATGCAGGTGTATCACATAGGCTTCAGTGGATGTCACCTAAGAGTATAGTATATGCCATGTATGTGTGTCATTGTGCATCATGTGTGTATGTAAGTGTATGTCTTATGTGCACTATGTGTCACATACAACTGTAGGAATAAATATATATATGTGTAGGTGCATGTATTATCAATGTGCTGGTGTGCATAATTTACATTTAGGCATGTCAGTGATATATTTGTTACATATGCATAGAGACATTTAACATATGTGTGGGTGTGTGTGATGAATGTACTTGTGTATGTCTCACTCATGAACAAGTATGTGTCACATATGTCATGCATCTGTCAACTAGGGTCATGTATGTAATAGTATGTGTTACTCAGGAAACCAAAACCGGCAAATTACTCTGGACTCTAGAGTACTCTGATTCACCCAGTCTCTCTTGTAAAAAAAAAAAAAAATAAATAAATAAATAATAATAATAATTAATCAAGTATTGTGAATTTATATTTTAATATATTTTTTATTCACAGAAATGTTTGACTTCAACACCTATTCTTTAAAAAATCTTGGATCACTCCTGAGAATGGGGAGTTTTTTCTTTCCTTAGTTTGGACACTAGTGTTGTTTGCTGTGCTTCTTGCACAAAGTGCCATATATTGTGTGTTGCATACTACACATCACATGAAAACATCAAGCATCATGTGTTGATTATTGTGAATCATGGTTAACAAGTTCTGTATTTGAGTTTCATGTGTGTTGTCCTCTGTGCTGTGTACCTAGTGTCTCATATGCCACGTGTATGTATCATTTGTGCTGTGTGAGATGAGTGTGAGTATACATATGCATACTCCACACAAAAAAATAATATTCAAATGGGAACTAAAAGAAAATAATTAAGAAACCATGCCAGGCATTTCAGCCTCACTGCAAGCCTTCCTGCCACTGATAAAAACATTCCTGTCCTTCAAGCTTTGAACATAGAAATCCATAAGGTCTGAGCTATCAAATCTGGAGCCATTCCAAGCCAGAACCACAAGTCTTTTCTTTAAGTTCATGATTTTCATGAACGTGTTCATATTTTCAGACTGTAAGTCCATCATTCACATTCATGAAACATAGAGAAACATATTTACATACTTTTCCAGGTTACTCTCTCAACCATTGCAATGCACTCATTGCCAGACTTAGTATCTACGCAGACCAAAGGAATGTGAATATCCACTGTCCATCTTATGCACATACTTTGCAAACCAGATTCCACAAATGTTTTATTCTTCAAGTTGAAATATTAAGAACAATTTCACATTCCTGTAAATCTGAATTCATGCATTTTTGCACCTAAACACTGATGACCAAACAATAATAAAAACTCACTGTAGAAACACATAATACTCTGAAGAAATTATAGAATTAAAAACAATGTCTTTTACAAGTTCACTATTCTTAACATGGGTTTTCAACATGACAACTCATTCACTTAGGTTTTTGCCTCTAGATATATTGGACTATTATTATATTTTGTTTCCTTTTTATATGAAACATTCAAACATATCAAACATTAAAAAACTGAAGTGCCTTTGAGTCTTGTTCAACACAGTATACTAACTGGCCCGATTTCTTTGCTATTCTTTTTACACTTCACATGCAAATCAATTTGACCGATTCCTGATCACATGTACAATAGACCATACTTTATGCACAGCTGCTTTGATCCACCTGAAGTAGCAGCAATCAAAGAACTTCCTTGACAATCATTATTTCAAAATTTATTTACATCCATATTATCACTAACAGATGAACCTTTACCTGCTTCAATATATATATTGATATAACAAATGAGTACACTAAACTATGTCACTGCAATATCTTCATATATACCAACTATTATAATACTCCTGCCAGATCTACTATATTTTAGGTCTGAGGATCTCATGTAAAGAAACAACTAATACAGTACATAATACAGGAGCAGAGGCTAATGCAAACCTAATTCAAAATATGATCTTCAATTTGTTATTTATAAAAAAAACTCAAGAGAACTTAGAAATGGCATTATACAAAACAACCACATTTAGTAGACTATGAAAATTCAAGTGAAATATTATATGAGCCAGCAGGATGCTTCATATATACAAAGCCATACAAAACAAGCACACACCTGTAAAGTACACTATCTAGACCTATATTAATATCTTTACTTTAGTCTCACCCTTTCAGTGCCATACTATACAAGGCAACTTTAAAATTCAGACATACATTCCACTCATCTAAACAGGTCACTTTTACCTTTACAAGTTACCATATAGTAAATGTAACTTCTTTCCATAAATTAACTATCTATCTAGAACTCTATCATGATCACTAACAGCTTTAAGAATTAGCCTTCCACAGAGCCTATGGAATCAATCAGTAAAAACTATTTTATCTTGGTAAAAGCAGCAAATATTCATTTCCAATATAATTCTATCTCAATTTCAGTTACTCATCATCTATACACTCAACCATCAAGCTGTCAATCTTTCCAGTTAATTATTTCTACATACACTCTTTACATAAAAACATGTACTTTTACTACATCTAGCACTCTACTCTGCTGAGAATGACATTTCTACAAACAAATAAAAAGCCTTGTCTTTCTGCTTACACATATACATACATCCTACAAACCCATACACATCTAACGAGACTAACATTTAAGAAACAAATATTTCAATGAACATAATAACATTACTGAAAACACTTTACTTACAGTTAAATTAATTTAATTTATTCTGTTTTTTTTCTTATACTTGCTTATTTTTTACATCCTTTGTAATTCATGTATCCAATCTTTATCAGAAATCAAGAATAATGAAAGAAAAATTAACTTCTATTATGTCCCAATTAACTGCATAAATTCATAAATTCACAAAATTTCTATTTGGAATAGTAAATAATGAATCTATTTCTAAAATGAGAGAGAAAAATATATATACTATATATAGTGATTAATGTAACAATGTCTGCAGATATGAAGTATCTGTATTATTAAACTATCAAAACTACCATACTTGTATATAACAAAGAATCTTCGGCACAAAAAAGAGAGAAAGAAGGAAAAAAAAAAAATCAGTACCATAGCAAAACTGAAATGTTCAGACAAATCCTTTCCTCTTTCTATTTACTAACATCCAAGCTGGATGAACAGTGAAAGCATCATCTATGTATAAATAAAACATCTTAATTCAACAACAAACAACTTAGCAACTGGACTGAAAATGTTTCTACAAAAGTTCAGGGGTTGGGCTGGGGGGGGGGGTACTTTGGGAGCATCTAACACAGTATAAAATTGGGGAAACTCAAAAACAATGTTGTATCAAAATGGCTGCATAATTCCATGCAATTTTACTGTAGGGGTCTGGTCTACAGCTGTCTGCATATGTGGACCTAATCACACATGTCCAAAACATGAAATAAACAAGATAAAATACAAAACAATACAGACAAAAATAAAAGATGAAAACAATAATAATAATAATAATAATTAAATAATAAAATAAAACAAAAACAATCTCTGCTCTGATGCACTGCAGCTTCATCGGCAATAGTAACTCAAAAAGTCAGTACCAAATGCTATATGCCGAGCACATGAATATGTATATAAAGCTTTTCAAGGAGCTAGTTCTTGTGAGATCAACTACCTGAAGGGGTTGGTGGAGGCTTTGCTCTCACGGGGCTTCTCCTGCTGCCTGAAAGTCCATCAACGAAAATAAAAAAAGTTTTTCAAATCAAACAAATAGAGGTGAGAAAGAGTACACTCGGTGAAAATCACTGTGGCTGTTACAAGCTGCTTGTACTTCCTGTTAACAAAAATGATTGACTTTTACATACCTAAAGAGATGGGTGGAATTAAAAATAAACAAATATAAAAATAAACAAATAAATAAATTTCAAAAACTAATAATAGTTAAAACATAATTATTATTATGTGCAATCAGTTATCATACTATTACCAAGCAATCTAAACTATTCATATTTCACATTACATTTAGGGTCACTTTTTAATACTGTTAACTGTACTCAACACTATTTATGATCTACCTCAAGATTACATTTTCTAAACTTAGCACATTATTTTTAAGAAAGATGCTTCTTCTTTTTCTATTTCTAATATAACATTTGTATATACTTTCAAAAAATATTAAAAAGGATTATTTTGTTACAACAGATATGCCTAAAATACCACATTGCCTTCATCAAACTGTGTATCTCTAAATATGGCATCACATGAAAATAACCACTTCAAACAACAAAATATATTACATATGCCTTCAAGATTTCTCTCATCTGCTTCACATTTCTTCATTTAGAAATGCATAATCATGGCATCATGGCATGTCAAGCAACAGTACTGTGCTTTCCATTTCAATGCATAATTATTAGACTTCTACCACTTGAACTCTTTACTACACATATAGTCTTCTAAATGCTTGATCTGAGATTCCGATATCTGGAAACAACATTCCATTTGCTGTTTACAGGTATCATATACTATTATTGTTTTGTAGTAGGTTAATCTCCCTGAATGGCAGTACAACTTCCCGTTTGATATGTTACCAAAATAGAATATTCAAGTAAAATGAAAGACTGAAATCAGAGAAAATTTATTGAATAAGAATCTGTGATTTAATTTAAAGGGAGAAATGTGCAGTTTCCGTGTGCTAAAAAGATACAAAAAACAATTAAAAGTAGCCTTTAGAGTGAATATTGGCTTGGCAGAGGTGCACCCACACACACACAATTATGTGAACAATAAAAAGAAAATGGCGATGCAGCTTAATGTTCTCTCCTTGTGACAATGTAAGAGGAAATATAATGGAGCAGTCGTTAACAGACAGTGTGGGAATATGCTTATCAAAAGATCTTATGCAAACTCACTGGAAAGAGTAGAACTATGAAAAGGACTCAACATATTCATTACCGAAGCAATATTTGTGGCATATATGTCAACATTTACAGAAACGTTGGCGTCGTTGCAATAAAATTTACAATGGTTTTGCCAATTACTCCACTTTAATCAATGGTCAAACACAATTCTAACTGGCATAATAAATTTGTTTCCTTAGAGGCCTTAAAAAAACTGTTAAAAGTAAAAGTATAACACGAGCTGTTTAGAATAATTAAACCAAATTTATAAAAATAAGAGACAGAAGAAGCATATATACAAGGAAAGATAAGAATAATGAAATTTGTAATTAGTCAGATAAGTTCATCCTCCAAAAGGAGAGAAAAAAAAGAGCTATTTACATAATAACAATGATAATCAAATAAACATACAATAATGGGTGTAGTTGATTAGAGCAAGACTTTTTATATAATCTGAGAAATAAATAAATAAAAATAAAATGTGAACACATTAATATTGTAGCATTCTGAGAATTCCTTTTCTGTTCTGCACTCCATATCCCAACAGAGTGATGCAAACCCTAGTCCTAAAGAGGTGAGAAAAGCTGTACCTCAGTAGAGCAGTATACCATACAAAGGTGATACTTCAGACAGGGAGAGAGAGAGAGAGAG